CTCGTTCCAGCAGTATCTTAGCAAAGAACAGCAAATTGTAATCTCGAAGAAAATCTCAGAAAACACTTTGAAAATCATTTCTTCTACCACATTTCCAGTACCATGGACGGTCTTATAGGGGGACTATTTTCCCCGGCTAGATATTGAGGAAATGCCCGCGTTTGAGCATGGAGATTTGTGCAGCTCGAATAGCAATAACAGGAAAGTGAATTACGCAAAAGCAAGGAATAAAGCGCTAAAAACCCGCCCGAAACGCCCATATAAGCTCCCTGCTTGGACGTACATGAGGTAAGCCCCTAGGAATGAAATTGGACGTTGTCGTGGCCAGTGGGCGCGGCCGTAGCCGCTGGCGCGCTTTCCTAAACCATTTTTGAACTGCGAATTTTGAACGTAACTTTTGAACTGAACGAGTGCACTCTTGATGCTTGCGGACAGGACTACCATTTTCGAAAGTGGAACATCAAATAAACGCGGGCTGTGTCATTAACTGTCGAGTGGCTCTCCTACTGCTGGGTGTTTTTATCAGTTATCATTTTCACTAGTTATGAATTCCATCATAGAGAAGCATCCGCCATCATAATTGAGTTCCTTCGCTCCTAGAGGGAGGTTATATGTTGCGACATTGAAGGATCGGAGAATGGACCGACAAACGATCCTACGAAATGGTTGCTTATATAGCGGCTGATTTCCTCTTCTGCACTTGAACGGGTTGTTGATGAGTATCTAATCGTTCCCAGGATTCTGTGAATCTCTGTACTTCTCAGTTCTTACTCGGCGAGGGTTGGTAATAGGAAAAAGTTTCGCTCAGACGTACCACTGTGACTTTTTTTTGCATCTGGTTGGCTAAGTGGTGCTTTAGACAAGTCCATCTGACGCTCGTCTCAATCTAGCTATGTCCATGTATCCTTCTCATCAGAGTCTTGGACCGACATGCCTGAGATTCCAGGCCGCGTAACGTTTAACTTGACTTTTAGGATCAAGTCATAAAAATGAGTTATAGACCTGATAAAAGATCGTAGTAAAAATATATTATTTTGAGTAATCTGCTTAGCACCTTATGCGGATTTGGTGACGCATTTTATGAGCTGCCATTCACTTTGCCTCCTGCCTCCTCTGCAGTCCTGAAAGGTATGAATGTAGCCTAACTTAGAAGAGGTTTTCGTTTAAACCTTCCCACCTGCTGCTGAACGAGTAATTGGTTTTCAAACCGAGATTTCGGTGGTGTCAGCGTAGACATTAGGTGGAAACATGACAGGCACTGTGCGAGAAATTATTTATTTCACCAGTTCGACTAGGTAGTATAGGTGGTTGGACTACATAATGCCAAGCTTTTTGTGTTGATCAGTCTGACTCCGGAGTAAGCCACGCCTTTTGCATCCTCTCTCAGACATAAAGGCATTTTGAATGCTACTGATTTACGCTTAACTTGCTGGGAAACGGTTGGGCGGGTGTCATAAGGGAATTAAAAGGAAGAGGCACACTGAGAAAGGCAGAGGGGGGTGTGGTGGGGTGGGGGGTGGGCGCGGTGGGGACCGAGGGTGGGTGTGTGTGGGGGGGTGGGGGGGGGGATTGGCACCGAAGGGAGGGAGGGGCGGGGGAGGCCGAGGGGGGGGGGGGGAGTCGCCTCCGCGCGGGCGGTGCCTGCTGATATATGCCGGCGGGGTGGTGGGGGGCGGCGGCGCCGTCCCCCGCGGGCGGCCAGCGGGGGGGGGGGGGGGGGGGGGCGTGGTAAGGGCGGGGGGGGAGCGGGGTGTTGGGGGGGGTGGGGTGGGCGGGGGGGTGGGGGGGGGGGGGGGGTGAACACGGCGGGGGGGGGGGGGGGGGGGTGGGGGGGTGGGGCGGGGGTGGGGGGGGGGGGGGCGGGGGCGGGGGGGGGTGGGGGGGGGGGGTGGGCGGGGGGAATGGGAGGACAGATAACTGAAGCATCCTGGGATGCTTCACGCTGTTACAGCATTTAGAGACAGATGGCGAGGTTCGTCACTTTGAGAGACGCTGCAATGATTGGGCACTTCCATGGTATAGGGGATCCGCTAATAATTCTACATCTACCCTCATGTCGGCCTACACTGTCGGGGAAAAGCGTTAAAGAACAGGATAAAGCGTAAGCGAGCTTGAGGGATGTATCATTGTTAAAAGAAAGATTTGGAGCAAGATTAGAGTTTATTTTCGTTTCGATGCTGTGTTGAGGAGCGCGCTTTGCAGAGGACAACAGGATATATACAGGTTGAATGGGGTTTGGGGTAGCGCTAAAGACGAGTGTTGTGGGGGGGGGGGAGTACGAAATGTTATGTTTGAATGGCGGGGGGCGGTGAGGTTGGGCGGTACGGGGCCGGGGCGGGCGAGCCGGGGAATTTACCTCTATACATCTGCATCTGAGTAGCGCGGCTGGAACCTGCTAAGTCCTAACTCGAATTCTAGAGTTGAAAACGGGTTAGAGAATTGCGATAATGCTTGACCTTTTTTCAAGTTTTTTTTTTCGGTTCTAGCGAATCTGGCCCACTTCTCAGTTTAAGAATTTATTCTTTTATGCTGAATGTTTATTTACCTGAGATAGGACGCTTCCTTATTGGGGCGTTTATGGCCTGTTTGCCACCGGTACTTGCCTTGCTTTATTCGGAATAAACTGACTGGATATGGATTTCAAGCATTGACGACTACTTATCCTCACGACATTATCGTCGAATCTTTTGTGTTACTTTTACATTGGATGATTGATTGTTCTGTTTATATTCGCGCTATTATAGCTGGTGTTTTTCTCAACTCCTGTTGTTGCTGATTTCTGATTTTCGACAGCTCTCGTAGCGGCTCAACAACATCCGCCGTAGGCGTTGGAGTTGACCGAAGAGGAGGGACAAGCCGGGAAGATGGTATCTCTCGGCGGGGAGGGCGCTTTCCCTCCCGGCTCAACCGTGCACTTCAAGACCGCACTCGGTGCATCACTTCAGGCTCAGGTGGTCTGCTTCGATCCGGCACTTAAGGTAATCTTTGATTCCTTCTATTTGATCATTTGTTGGTCGATATTGTTCACATTGGTCGATGGTTGTTGGTGTTTGGGGAACGTCGGAGTACTGTTGCATAGTTCTGTAGCGCTTTACTCATGTAGTTTCTCTGAGGGGTTCCTCGCTTTTTCTGTTTGAATTCTGTAAACTCTCACACTAACCATAAGTTCAACAGTTGCTGAAGTTTTTCCGCATACTCCACCTTCCAAAATATTGACAAAGCCGCTCTAGTGGAAAGCATTCAAAACAGGGTATAAAAGCTCTGTTCGGGACAGAAAATAGCTCTAGAGTATTGGTAGGTGGTACAACCATAGAGGCGTCAGGGTTGCCGTTTATGAGACTCGCAGCGCCTTTGCTGCTCACTGTGAAGCCGGGACTTTGGTATAATCTTAGAGACTGTGGACCAGACTACTCGTACAGGGAAGCACGCCTACGAATTGCTTAGAGGACTGTTTTAAAGGTATAAGGCACGATAATTTAGTAGTCGATCTAAAATGATAGCAGGAAAGGTACGTATAGGGAGAATGGCGAAAAAACGAAGGGAAATGCTCGAAAACCTGCAAACAGTCTCTGTTCTACAGATTTGGAAGGTTTCGGACGAGTTTCGGGCGTATCGCTCCAATAATTGGTGTGGTACATACGGCTGCATGTATGTACACACACGGGGGGGGGGCAAAAAAGTCACTTTTCTTCATTGACTTTCGAGGGGCTATAAATTACACTTTATTAAACTATCATCGGACATTTTCACCACCATATTAAAGAGCATATTGAATACTATCATGACACTCCTCCACAGACTTCTGGACGAGCGCCATCGAGACATTCTGGCACGCAACCGTGGTTCAGTGCTTGAATTCAGCGAGATCGCTGATTTCTCCGCCATTGTAGACCACCCTATTGAACTCCGGGTAACTGAAGGGATTCAGGTCAGGTGACCTACTTGGATATTCCATCTTCTTTAGGTACCCAGCCCCATTCCATTCCAATTAGGCGAGAGTTTCTCCAACGCCCTTCGATTCCATGTGGTGGCACCCAATGCTGTAGCAGTACAAAGTTTCCAAGAAGGTACGGGCGACGACATGTGGAGAGGATATTCTACTCGAGTTGCTCGATGTAACCGCCAGCGCTCACCTTCAGTCCGGGTTCCACGAAGAAAACATTGGTCTTTCCATTCCAGGTACCTCCAGTCCATACCATCAACCCGCTCCTTGACGACTGTGGTGAAGATGGTGTCCTAGACCGTGGCGACTTTGTCGGAGCTGCTCGGTGTTGGAGGTCATCCAGATCGAGGTACTGGTCTCCAGGTAGCTACCCATGGGTGACTCCATACTAGAGGTTTCGCAGCGTTTGAGGGTGACGTGAATTCCAAAGGTCTTTTCCAGTTAGGCTGCGACTGGAGATGATTTCATGTTTTGGTGTACATGAAGGTGATGGGCGAGAGCCAACCCTGCTTATAGAGGAACATCTTGGGTATCTTCCGCCCTGGTACTCGTATCCACGTCCTCTGTCTGGGCAGCGAAAACTTTGCTGATATGTGACTCGGTCGAAGTGACTTTTTTGGGGCCCCCCTTGTATATCCATATATCACCGCAGCCGCTTCATATCATTCCCTTCGCTTCACATTGTACTTCGCAACGAAGCATCAGCATCGGTCGCACATTTGTGGGTGGACGGGCGAGGTGGGCGTCCGGGTTGGTGCTTGCAGCTTGATAGAGCCTTATAGGGTTACTCACTCACAAAAGTCGCTACGCAATGCTTGCTCGGGGGGGGGGATTCCGTCTGGTCAGACGTATTAATCCTACAAGTGTTCGGGTTTTGTCGCGCCCTTGCTTTGAGCCGTAACTTCCATGAATGTCTAAGGATTCTGGGTTCTGTTAGGAGATAAATGTTCGAAATAGAGAAAGTTCCAGGCCTGCGTTTTTACCACCTTTCTAACCATACGAACTGAGAGTAAAGTTTTACTTTGTTTTTTTTAGCAGTATTACTGTTTGTGCAAAAATGAGTAAAGGGTGAGCGAAAGATTGATGCCGTGAAAATCCTATTCCTAGGTGGATAGAGTTCATTGCAAAAACACCCTAAAAAAGATCACCTCGAGATGGTCAAAAGAGTAGCATGACAGCGCAGATCACCTGGTAATTGACTGGAAACGCAATAAGAGCTGGAGCTTATAGTTGGAAGAAGCTTACTGTTTCACCTTCTATAGCTTCTGCAGTGACTGTGTTGTTTTCATTATTGTTATAGTTCTCATTTTATCAGTGACTATTATAATCATTTGTTTTACGGACGTTTTAATTTTAAGGTTCTTGCCGTTCGTGATACATCAAGCGGGAAACCTATTCTGCGGATGTTCAATATAGCGCTTATTAGTGAGGTTAGTTTGTGTTTTGGTGCTTTTAATATTTACAATGTTTTAGTTTTTCAAAGTGTATCAACATCACTGTCAAAACTGGTCAAAATAGTAATTAAAAAGTCCAATATCATAGCAAGCTCTGCTTCATGTTCAATCAAAAGCAATGAAGTGTTCAACTGGCGTTCTCACTGTTTCATGTTTTCAGATTCGGGAAATATCAGGACCGGCTAATGGTGATTCACTAGAGACGATGTTTTCCCCAAGCTCGATGAGCAATCAACAGGTTTGTGTGAACATTTTTTGTATCTGCACACACTCTAGGCAACACTAGGACTGCATTCATGCTTTGGAACTGAGAGACTAGGAGAATGTACACCAATGGAGTGAATTTGATACAATGTAAAATGGATTGTGGTGGTTTAGGTAGCTGACAGGAGTGCGGTAGCTGAAAACCGTCGGTGCGTGGAAGCGATGGAGACAGACGTCACGCTGGATGGCCAAAGAGCTTTCATTCAACTCCGACGAACTCTTGACGATGTTCGTTGGAGAGGTGAAGACATATCGGTCCTGGAACGTGTAGTTGTGCGACCACCATACACGCCTGAAAGTGCTGTAGCAGTGCAGGTTCGATTTTTTCTGCTCTTAAATACAAGTCTCACTAGCTGTTCTAAAGTTGAAACTAGTTAACACTTATTTTTTGGATTGTTGTTTTCTGCCATGAGGTTATTAGCTGAAAACCTTTCTCGTCCTTTTTAAAGGGTTTGGATTCCATTGTGAGAGCAAAACGGAGCGCCTCGCCTAGGCACTCAAAATCGTTCCACGCCACCACATTTTAAACGATTAGTGGCGAAGACGTAAAATTACTAGAGCATTTGTTTTTTTGAAATTTCAAGGTTACAAGGAAGGTATGGTGGGTTGAAGTGGCAGTTGAAAATGAAATTTGTACTGACTAATGCGGCCCGAGACGATAGTTGCAATTCCGCCTCCCGTATTAACTGTGGACCTTCACGAACGAAGTTGCGAAGGTCTTCCGAGTGAGCATGTCCTTACTCAGCATACTTCAGAAGAAGGGGTTCAGAGCGCAGTGCTTTTACAGCTCAACGCTGGAAGCCGACGAAGAACAAGGTTTTGATTCTTTGGTGCTTTCACTCTTTAGCATTTTTTTTTACTATTTTTGCTGTTTTTTTCTCTTTCTTCTCTCCGACAAAAACAAGGGTTTCCGGAGAAGTATATTGCTTTGGAGAAATTAGTCACGAACACTGGACCGCTGATTTATTCAGTGCTAATTCACAACTTCCAAATTCGTCAAAAACTTGTATTTTGAGCGCCCTGATGGCAAATTTGGTGCCGACGTCAGAAATATCCGCGGCCAGGTCGCTGCACAGTGTCGCCAATGTGTAACTTTCCGATGAAAAAATGTTAATTTTCGCGGCGCCGAGGTGGTGACAAAAAGCAGAAAACGGGCTTTCAGCGATCACTGATCTCCTGAAGGATCCGCACAGAGAGATGGACCGGAGGCAACAGTAAACAGAAGAGCGCTGGATACCCATGGTAACCCCACCTTTTCAATATGTACGGTCAAAACCTTGATTCATGGTGTGATGTCTTTTTCTGTGGTGGTTTTTTCCCCTAAGCGCGAATACCACAGGCCTTCGGCGTTCGAAAGTGCCAACTCGTGCATTACGTATTCCGGAACACTAGAACCTCTTTCCGGTTATAGCCACTCAAGTCAGAAACGAGAATGTATTTGATTACATTTTCTACTAAATTTTTTCAAAGCACTAATTTAGAGAACTGCAGCCCCTGAAGTGCATAAAAAGCATATAAAGTAAAAAAAATCAGGCGCACCAGGGATTCAAAAACTAGACCTTCAATAAATGGGTCAGACCTACTCTCTGTGTGCTCAGTATGAGTGTGCTCACTGGAAAACCCCCCATAACTCCGTTCGGAAGGTGCGCTGCTATGAAGTCGAAAGTTCGTAATCGCTGGCCAAGGTGGCGTTAGTCGGTATACATACATTTCGTTCCGAGCGCTTCATTTCATTTCATTTCCTCTTCTACCTGCCTACATTCCTTCCCTCATGGGAGATCTTGTTTGCACCCGCATTTTCTTGTTCCAAAGTAAAACTGATAATAGGAAAGTCTGTGCTTTCGCTGGAATGTATTTGATATGAATTTAGTGGTCTTCTGGGTTCCGGGTTTCGAGATTTTGAAGTTGATGAGATGCTACCGAACGAGATCTGTTTTTAACCTCAACACTCGGATACTTTGGGATAACCCTGTTGTTTGCTGAGCTGATGGCAGGGCCACTGTGTGAATTTGTGCTACAATGATTCGATATTTTCCCAACGGCACGTACTCATCTATTTTGAAAGCCAATGAAACAGTGTCAGCTTCATTCTTCGTTCTCTTTGATATGTAATGCCTGATATGCTTTAGGCGGAGGTGGTTAGTGACAGGTGGCGGGTTTACCAATCGCGCGACCTAGGTTAAAATCCTGGACCGACATTCGCCTGGGCCAACCAAACCTTTTGCTACCGGTAAAATAGTTCCAGATTCGTGTGGGAGGATAAGGCACTGACATGTACATTGGCTGGTCCTAGTACCAGCCGATGTACAGGTCAGTGTACACCTGAGCTCTACCTGCAAGTCATCGTATAGGTCAAGCAGCGCTCAGACTTTGCGAAGGGACCGTTTCGGTCGCGCGTTCGACGCGATCGATGCGTCCGATCGCGTCGAGCGCGCGACCGAAACGGTCTGGCTGCTTCGCGAAGCGCTGCCGTCGCGAAGTCTGAACACAGTCTCACATCGCATTCAGTAAATTGCCACGATTTTGAATGGAAGTAGAATGCGTACGCCATCCCACAAAGGAACAGATCAACAGCGAAGACTTTATCCTTTGTCTTTTTTCCTTGCCTGATTTGCTTTCCATTATCCAAATTAGTATGAAGTTTGTGCTCGAAACGTCAACATTAAAAAAATGAGAACATCGGAATTTTAATTTAGCATTTAGCCAAAGCCGTTTTGTGGAGAGTTGTGACAGTCACAATTTTCGATTTTCTAGGAAGGCGACTCGCAATCCCAATCGGCACTTATGCACGTTCGTAAAATATTGTCGAAGCCTTTCATTCCTGAACAGAAGCTGACTGCGTGCTGTGTGGCTCCAGAAGGCAACGGCGGTCTCTAGTTGGTGCCGTCGATAAGATTCCAGGCGGCGTCCAAAATTGCATTCATTAGATATTTCCTTTTCATTAAAGTCATTTTCATATTCTCGTTCACGTGTAATACCTACGTGCCACTGATGATTGTGAGGTAGGGTGCGTCTAAGGTTTAGAAAAAAATCAAGAATTACAATAGTTTTCCCTACCAATTGTGCATACTCAGTTAGACCATAGAAATAGATGTAACTATCCTTGATTCTGACGATAGAAGTTCACCTAGACCAATTCATCTCTTCATCCATTTCATTGAAGTTTTTGCCTACTTTGTTGTCGCATGATGCTCCTACGATAGGCAGTCGCGGTTTGGTGAGAGAAATCCGTGGTCGTAGGCTTCGATGCCTTCATTGCCCTGTACAAGTGGAGTAGTTATAATGAACGCATTAGAGCAGCTCTATCCGGCCATCCCCTTTTGTACCTACTGCTGTTCTCTTTTCGTAACAACTTCTCTAGCATTGTTTATAATGACACTCTGTTCAGCTTTTTCATTCTGATGAGAGGTCGGTTGTGGCTGTCTCAACATTTGCAATGGCTGATAGGTTTGATGGTTATAGGTACTCAAGATGCTTCTTTCATTTTTTCTTCCTCCAAAAACCGACACACCCTTCACGAACGTCAGTCCTTGATGTGTTGTCCCGTCTAATAAGGCTTTTCTATTGATGATGTAATAGAAAATTTCTGTTTAAATGATTTCTCCTTCACGTATGTTTGTCCACTATATCTGGTTTTATCCATGTTCCATGTCTTTTTTGATTGAATGTACAGTCATTATACCTGCAAACGATAGGGCGTTTCATGCGGAGTGAACTGAAACACTATCAAGGCGGTCTTTTTCCACCGAATGAGGCCATCTTGAGCTCGCTGCAGCTGGTGGGCATTTTGCCCTGGCTGCATCAAGGCCACCTTGTGTCACTGAGGCACGCTCGAGCCGATCATCGGTGGTCTGTTAGGCCCTGACGCGTTCTAAAGCCATCCCTCACGACCACCACGGCATGCGCAACAGGCACAACGATATCCACATTCTCGTCCGGATGGCTGTGGATGGGTAATTTGTTAAAGCTATTTGAAGACTGTGAGAAGAAAGGGAGACTGTGCATGTACCCTGCGTCTCCTTCCGAAGGCGGTCCGGCTTGGGTGGATATAAGTGGAATCAAAAGAACGATAAGCCTAAAGAAGGGGGTAGGGGATACTTACAGTTGCTGCTTCCCTACCGAATTCGTAGTTTCTACTTTTCGTGGTTCGTGATCCACACTTTGGCCTGACACAAACGCAACCTACCTCACCCTGTCACCGAGACCTTCCATACTTCGCAGGTAAGGCAGATCATAATCAGTAAAGACATAACTTAGAAATCCAGCAGCTCCATGGAGACTCTAATGGGTCTCCTCATGCAAAGTCCGCATATCTTAGGGCCCGGGAGCTAAGCAAGATGCACGGATGGTTTCCGCCTCCAACCACTAGAAAGATTAGTACGGCGCGCTTATATTGGGTAAAGGCGAAAAGAAAGGAGCGAAAAATGCAAAATAACGGAAAGAGAAAAGCCCCTCTCAGGATTTGTAAAATCGAGCGACGAATTCCCATACGCATCAACCATCAACGCTAACGAATATAGTGCATAATGTGTATCCAAATATATGCATGACAGACATCAAGCCGTTGCTCATACCAATCCTTCGCTCATAAAATTGCTTAGCAATGAAAAATACGATCGCTCAGAACGAAGTCCGACATCTGGGGCGCGCAAGGAAGGCGTTTGGGACGGTAACTTGTTGCTACAAGTGCGTTTTAGAGGCACCGCTCCTTGAAAAAGCTTCACGGTTTCAGCGCTGCCAAGTACGAATTTCGTTGAGGCCAGTGACAATCCTACACCTGTATAGCGATTCATCGTGCCAACTGCCTTTGAGCACAGGAAGTACAATGAGGTTTTCTGGTGAATGATGTTTCTAGAGCTTTGGGGTTTTACATATGGAATTCCAACGTACTCAAGGAAAAGGAAGGCCTCCAAAGTAAGAATCCAAGCATGACGGCCGTCGTTGTTTCAGCTATCTATGACAGATTCTGACGATGACGTTCCCACTCTTCCACCCGACACGCTTGAGATCTTACGACGTTTTCAAGAGGAACAACAGAAAATCGCCGACGGCATGGAAGTTGTAGCAGAAGACTGGCAGGTATGTTTCAATCATTAGTTCCTCTTTGTGGACAGTCGAGATACTGCTCTTTTGGAGGATTCTAACGAAAAAAAATCTTTTTTTTAGCTGAGCCAGTTCTGGTATTCCCCTGACACCGCTCGACAGTTATGCCGTGAGCTAGTTTATGCTGTTGGGGGGAAAGGACGAATTGCCTGCATATCGTGCCCTACACTTGTCCAGTATTTTCCGGAAGTTGAGGTGCTTTTTTTATTATTTGGCATTTTCACTCGGTTCTCCAAGGCAAGTACGATTGAGAAGATTCCAGCAGTACGATAACAACATGATTACCGTGACCTTGTTTGAGTATGATACACGTTTTGCGAAAAAGTTCCCTTCTGAATATATCTCTTACGACTATCGACATCCACTTGCGATCCCTGAAGAGCTGAAAGGTAATCATTCATTATCCCTGCTGTGCCATTTTCCAAAAATAGTGTATCCTATCTACCTACCAATCAAAATTAACTACAAATTTCAAGGAAGCTATGACGTTGTCATTGCTGATCCGCCATTTCTTGCCGATGAATGCCTGTTGAAAACTGCTCAAACCGTCCGACTCCTAGCAAAATCAGATGCAAGAATCCTTCTCTGCACCGGAACCATCATGGAAGAAAGGGTAAGAGATATCCTTAATGCAAAGAGTGTATGGCTAATGGGGGAGGGGGTTCTGTAGCTCTCTAATGGCGCTGGGCTTGCAACGGTTCTACTCAAGCGCACAGCCTTTATGTGTTTGCTATAGTGCACATAATATAGGTTGGAGGAACGTCAGTGTTTTACGAAAAGCTTACAGTTTTTGATTCTCGATGCTCGTACATGACGTAATATGCTATGCTTGTAGCACTCTGGGAGCTTTCCTGCAAGAGCGTGTGACGGCGGCTGCTCTTCCCTGGGTTTCATTACGATGTCAGTTTCACAGGAGTATCTTCGGGTCATCATCTTCTATCAGTGGCCTCGCGGCACTGGAACCACGGCAGCTGTCCCTAACATCAACACATTGAGAGAGGACACCGCTACGTCAGGATCGTTTACATTGAGTTCGCTCGCTTCGCGAAGAGAAACCTCGGTTTGGACGGCTTCAAGAACTATAAGACGGCACTATTCAACTATTACTACCCCCGTTTTGCGAAAACAGGTCGGATCTTGACCGACTTTTTTCCTACGGGGGCAGATTTGGTTGAAATTTGGGTTTCAGGGGTAATTCGACCTCGTGAACACGAATATCACTTCCAGTTGGCCTGAAAGTGCCTGACGCCCGCGCCACAGGCGCCAGTGATTCAGGGCATTTTAGCGCCGGCGACTGTGGCGCAGGCGCCGAATGGTTTCAGGCCGAGGGAATGTTGTATTCGTGTTCAGGAGGTCGTACTATCCCTAGAACCCAACTTTCAGCCAAATCTGCCCCGCAGAAAAAAGTCCATCGGAATCCGGCCCGTTTACGGAAAATTGGGGTGGTAATAGTTGAACAGCGCCCTATAAGACTCCACCATTCTCGAAGCAGTCAAGGGGGATCCAGAGCCTACCACCCGCAGTCTTGTGACAAGACTCGGATGTACCTAACTGACAGTCGTCCACCGCCTGTAAGCCTTTGACTACCAAGAAGTACTGGCTTGATGGATCATTCATACCTTGACCGATGGCACGCTGTGCATCCGGGTACCCCTCGCTTAGTCTCCACTTCTCTGCTCTCGTCAGAAAGAGTTTCCGGGAGCTGCTCAGTGGAGATAGTAGATGGGTCCTCTATTTGATTTCAACCACACCAGGTTACATGTTGCCTCTCAAGGAGAAGACCCATCCAAGCAGTCCAAACCGCGGGCATGTATTCCTGAAAAACTTTTCTCTGTGTTGACTCCTGGACGCTTGAGGAGGTGCAGCAGAACGAGCATTGCCCCCATAAGAACAACCGCGTACGGTCCACCATGTGTGCTGTTCAGGCTCCTCGAAACGCATGTGAAAATTGCGGAGAAAAAATTACCGAGACTAGCTTCAGCCGTCACGTCGTTCCGTAGTACACGAGACCCCATAACGTGCTATGTAAAACCTACCAAATTAAATCGGGAGGAGCAAGCTAGCGAAGACCAGTCCCCGCTCATAAACATTCTCCTGACGTAGTCTCCTAGGACTGCTACTGCTCCGCGTCCTAAGCTTTTCTTTAGCTAGAAAACTTCAGCAGTTTTGATCACATCATTTCGAAGGGCGCAGAACTTACTCTATTCGCCAGCATTCTTCATTTCTGGAAGGAGGCGGAATGCTTACCTGGTTTATTGGGATGAGGGTTGATAGTGGGCTAACTATGACGAGTATCATTTATTGACTTAATTCCCCACTGTATATTGAAATTAGAAAATAAAAAGGGGGAAAAAGTCACGACCAGCGTTATACCGGAGCTTTCCTTCTCAACCTTATACAATCTGTTTGCAATGTTCAGCTTTGCAATTAATCACATATCTATTACCTGATCACGAAAGATCATTTTTGGTTGGTTCATTTGCCGTTGAGCGAAGTCCCACCATATACATTTCCTTGTATGCTTCACTTACTACTTCATTGGCTTCACTACAATTTAATATAGCTTCCTCTTCTTGTTTGGAAATCTACATAATCCATGATGATGCCAGTTGATGTACCTGGAACAAGTCGTGGCCAACTCTATGAACGAGCCCTTTTCTTATTTCAAAAAATGCACGACAGACAGGGCTCTTTGGAGAAGCGTTCAATGCAGGGAAATTTGTGTTCCAATCAGCAGCTGCTCGCTCAAAACTCGTTATACTTATTTGCTTCTATTACTTCGTCGCTAGTCGCTTAGAATAGCATCAAAGATACATAAAAAGGAAGAGTTACAAGAAGCGGAAAATTGATATTCTAAACAAGTTACTTCATTCGTCGTTATAGTACTGATCAGGCTAATCCATGCTAGGGAGAGGGCGGGGATTTTGTATCACTGTCAACAAATTTGGGTGACTCTGTGAAGTGGACTGTCAGTTTTTGTAGGTAAGGAGCCGATAACAATTTGTTTGTTGTAAGACCAGTAGCTCGAAAAAATAAGCAAGAAAACTTTTAAGGTGGAAAAGGACATTCCGCCTGAAGATCAACTGATTCTCTGTCTCCATCTTCACGCCTAGCGCATCGGCCAGAAAAAATACTATATCCCTCTGACATACAATCAGTTTCTTAGCCACCTCCTTCGGTAGTAAAGGTGTTCGCCCAGACAAAGAAATCAGGAAAAAAACCGACCTTTAAGTTGTTACTGGTACTATTTTGCCAGAAAGCTTTTTATTACTTATTACAGCTTTATAGTGGTTGCCGGTATGCTAACAGCGGAGCTTACAAAGTACTCTCTCTCGCGCACACTTGCCAATACCTAGATTCTACTAATTGTGCGTATAGAGACCGCTACTGGGGCACTCGCCTCGCTTGACCTCATTACGCTTTTGTTCCTTGAAGTCAACATTCTTCTCTTCGCGCTATTCTTGAAACGTCATTTCGACAAAGTTTGCTCTTATAGTTCCTATCTTCTTGGTCTTTAGTTTTGGTTTTACTTCGAGCTCATTATAGTTCATGAAAAGTTAATCATAGCAGCATAGTCGCGCACAGAGTAATGTCAAACCTCGGATTACCTTCCTTATTCACACTTTAATTTTTATCTTTCAACTTTATTTAGAGGATTCCGAGCGGGAGAAACTTGTCACTGAAAATTTCACTCCTTGCTCTTTTTTTCCCTTTTTTATGAGTGAACAGAGAAAATGATTTTCTCATTAAAAGTTTTGGTAAACTCTCACCTTTAATAAGATGTTCAATTTGACATGTGAGCACTTACTGCAAGAGACTAGAGGGAGGGTTGTTCACAGTTTCGGTATGAAGCTTTACGTACAAATCCAAGTTCAGGCGAAGCGATTACTTGGTCTCCACCGTTTGGAATACGAGCCATCTCACGCGAACAACCTATCGAATGAATTTTCGTGTTTTGCTAACTACGAAACAAAATATTTATGACATCAATTGAGCAGATCTGTACATTCTAGATGTTTTCTGCATTGTTTTTGTTGAGTTGTTGCCATTTTTGGAGCTAGTCGATCTTGTTTCGCATCGCTGGTTTTCACATTATTTGTTTTCTATCTTTTATTTTTATTGTTGGTAAAAGATGTTTTGAGATTCTGTTGAGTGGACTGTGTACTAGGTTTCATTTTCCAATAAATTTCCTTTTTAATGGTTTGGGTTTAAGTTGACATAGTGGTTCGAATCCACTTTTTATTTGCAAACGGAGTATTCACAAGTTCAAGCGCGATTATTTCTACACCATTTCGCCAAGCGTTGTCGATAAGCATTTTCTTTCCAGATTTGACACTAATGTGAAGGATTAAAACAAACTAAACTAATTACTATTTGGCCGTTATTGCCTGCCTCCACTCACCGTTATAACCATTTTAAACCTATATTGTTGGCCTCTTATTCGATAATAATTCATGGCACCTGCTGGACAGGGTCTCACTTGGTCAGATGTCCTTTGCTGTATTGTATGTAACCAGGTGCGTTTCCTTTTTTCATTTTATGGTTTAGAAATGATTAAAGTGCTTAATAAGGGCTTCAGCTTTTTGATCATAATCGGGCGCCTGTGAATTTGACGTGTGGACATGTCATTTGTGTGCGGTGTATAGCAAAATTGTATGGAAATGCGTGTCCTGAAGACCAGGTTCGTTATCATCTCAACATTCCAAGTCTGGGGAAATTTTCCTGTGCAAATGTTCCAGTGTGAAGGTAAATACCCCGTTTCGAGCTATCCTGTTAATGCTGCACTTTTATCAATTGTGACTGACGACGTAGAGGAATATTTACCGTTGTGGGAAGTGGAAAAAGTTTCTAAGGTATTTCTATAGGTCGAAAGTACTCTGCTTTTGCTATTTTTCATGAACTTAAGAAACCCGTATACTATTATTTTTGACTTTCTCAGGATGTTTTGTCACTGGTAGAGAATGCTCTGGTTTCCATGGCGCAATATCTTCACCGTGCAGAATCGGAAAGAGGTGGAACAGTATTTAGTGAGGTATGAAAATTGGTGAACATGTAAAAATTAGTACTGTGGAGCGATAACGTGCAGTTTTCAACGCATCGTTTCATGTTGCAGGTGTTATCCCGAACCATGCAACGCAAGCTTGTATCGCTTCTTTGCTACCAGCTTGTTGAAGAAGAAGGTCGTTTGCGTGCATTGAAAACCTCAAGGTTGATCGCTGAACGAATAATGACGGAGGTCAGGCACTTGTCTTTACTTGAGATTCATTTGAAATGAAATTTAGGAAGATATTTTCAATGTCACTACAAAAAACCCAAAAATGTGGTCATATTGTTATGATAACAAATTGTTTCGAAGTAATCCATTGAATTCTCGGAACCGTGTCAGTGAACTGTGATCTTCTGTCTGCCCTGTAGTAGATTACTTTTTCGTCTTGCTTGTAGGCAGCGCTGCTAAACACCTTTATGTCCTCTTGTGTGATCCCTACTTTTGAAGGTACCTCGAGAGAAAGGCTGTAGCTACCATTACTCGCTCTCGCCACCACACCTAGCGAAGTAATGCTTCACAATCCTTCCTGTTTGAATCTTTTGGGTTTTCTGATGTTTGGCAATCACTTTTCCTTCCTGTTTGAATCCCTCTGGTTTTCTGATATTTGGCAAACTCTTTTCCACTAGTATCTTCCAAAAAAGTTCTTGTAGCCCGTTTTGCAAATCATCCGAACATCCTAGTGGGGATTATACACATTTTTACCATTATTTTTTCACTTATTTTTAGCTGCTGCTTATTCAACAGAACTCGGGCAGCCTGAGTACGCACTTATGGACTGCTGTTCGAGCACGTGGTTGTCAATTTCTTGGACCTGGTGCGAATTTTCGTAGCTTTCAATGCCTTGTTTCTATATCGATATATCAAATGATTTTAGCGATGCAAGAAGACGTGCTTAAATTAATTCTTCTTGCTCTCGATAAGGGTGCGCTGATTGCTCGCAAAACATTGGTCATGTACGTGGTACAAATGTTATCAGAAGACTACCCTCAGGTGGGTATTGCGGAGATATTGCGGAGATATAGCCTTTTTTGAGGAAGACTTATGACTCAGTTACTTGTCTTATACCTATCGTTACCAGGTTTCAAAAACATGTGTCGGCCACGTGGTTCAGCTTCTCTATCGCGCATCTTGCTTCAATGTGATGAAACGTGATGGAGAATCATCTTTGATGCAGTTGAAAGACGAATTCAGAAATTACGAAGCCCTTCGCAAAGAGCATGATGCACAAATTGTGCAGGTTTGTTTTGCAGCTACTCATTTTCTGAGATACTGTACGCTCTAGAATGTAATTCTTTTAATTCTATCTGTTCTGCCATAACTTACTGGGTGCGAAATTCCATTTTTTTCAAGTTGGATGACAGAACGTGCTGCGTGCTGTGTAATGCTGTGTAATCCGAAATGTTAGAAGTTCTGCTATTTAAATACCGTGGCCGGAAAGTGAAAGCTGGGATTGAGATAGTACAACATCTGGCCTAATCGAGCACCATAGACTGATCTTAATCAAGCGCACTCACTGATCTTAGTATTCGCACCCCTATATCTTTTGCTGCTAACAGTTTTTTACTCAGCAATGAGCTTCTATCCTTTTCTTTCTGACCAACTCAAGGTAGCACTTTTCATCCAGCAGCGTGTTGTGTCGCTTACGTGCCGGGTTTAACTCTAGTATGTTAAGGAAATTTTTAAACAAAAAAACACCCACATACGGAAACGTGAAAGAAATAATGTTCATTATTGCAAGGAGAAATAGTGTATCGGATTTTTTGCATGTTTTATTTTCGTGTTCTCTCTGAAATATTCTGTCATTTATAGTTCAAAACGGGAAGGGAATGGAAAGAATAACCCGAGAAAGTATTGATGTTTTGTGAGCTTCGTTATTCCAAATCCTTATCCAAAAGTAGATGGCTACGTCTCGGGCATAACCTCGATTGTTTTCAGCAAAGTTCAGCAGAATTTGAATTTTCCATATAGATCGGTTGCCTACTCGTATATTCGATTTTTTAAATTAATGGTTATAGATGGCGGTTGAGTGCGGTCTACGAATTAGTCCAGACCAGTGGAGTGCACTGCTGTATGGAGATCAAGCCCACCGGTCACATATGCAGTCCATTATAGGTTTGACATTTTCTTTCTTTTTTTCGGCGTTTTGTCTGTACTCGGCGAACAGTATTATTTAGTTATCTTCGTTCACTGCAAGGGGTGAACGAGAATACAAATGCATGGAGGTAACGGGCGGTATGAACTGAAAGTCTTAAATGGTCTTCTATATAAACAGCTCCATATAAAACCGTCAGGAGTTCGCAGATATTTCCTGGCTGGATTATTGTCCATAAATTAAGTTCCGTTGCGGCACTGCGAAAATTTTGTTATATTGCTGAGAGCGCGCGATTTTGATTTCTTCGAGTTTTTTGCTACTGTGTGTTTTTGTTAACAAAATATTCCCCTAGACTTACTGGTGGAGGAAGGTCCTTGTGGATTAGTGAGCTTTGCCTACTAGGTAGGATTAGGTAAATGTCACTTGTTTATGTATTCTGCGATTCTTCCTGCTTTAGGTTACTGTCCGTTCAGATCGCCTGCAGACACCTCATTTCGTAATGCCCAACGAATATGAACGAGTTGGGCAGCAGTCGCAGAAATGGTGGCGCACTAACGTTGGGCGTTGCCGAATTTTGGCACAGATGGCCTCAAGCTATTTGCGACGGTGTTCGACTCAACTACCACCACATCATGGTACGTCAACGACCTCAACTTCGATTGATATTTTTACTTGATTTGTTACAGAGCGGGTCAACTGGCCCCGATTCGCAGACTACATAGATGCTCTGCAAAAGCTCGTCAAGGCACATGCTGAATTTACGATGAAACGGTTCGCATCTTTATTTCCATATACCAGATATGGAAAGGGCGTGATTGCGTGCATCATGCGAACGTTACGGCGGCTGCCTTCGAGGGATATTGTCGTTTTGGGATCATTCCTTTGTCCATCACGGAACAGGATGGCAGTCGTCTTCAACAGACATCTCCGAAAAAAAAACGTGTTCTATGCAATGTTTAACACGTTCCGGACCGCGTGACACACATGGTGTGCCATGAATTTGCTTCTATGCTGTCTTCTATGTGATTATTTCGAATATTCTTTCATGTTCTGTTCTTGTGAAAACACGTCTTCGGTTATCAACATATCCTCCGTCATGAGCGTTTGAAAATAGGGAGGAAACTACTGATCAATTTTTTATGAAAAATGATGAAATGATTAGGACGTGCGCGCAGTATGGCGGTCCGCAACGTGTTAAACAAAGTACGCTGCCACGCCCTCATATGGAGTGTGAAAGTGTTGCCGCGAGCTCGCTATAAGTTTAATTATGTACAGGAATGAACAGCGTGCTCGTGATGCACAGAGGTCGGCTGCTATGCTTCGCTCTGCTCATGCCGGTGGACTTGACAAGGCGCATGCCTATAAAACTAAAATGTGCAAGTGAGATCTCAGACGTTTCTCGACTGAATTTCCCGCATACCATAACGTTTTTAGGGATATCTCCGCTCGCCGATTATGTCCTCGCGGAGCTCGTTGTACGTACGCTCATAGTGTAGAGGAGTTGCGTGACGCGTCTCGGAAGGACATGGGGTCTGGTTGTTGCTCTCAGGTTTGTTTATACCTGCATAGCGTATGTATCAATATGAGATGCGCTGCCGGAGCATTTCGGCGCTGGGAGGGGGGAAGGCATTCTCCACTTTTGCTGTTTCTCATCGAGGGGCGAGCAATCTCGAGAGCTTCCGTGAGTTGTCAGATTTAATCGTAGCAGCCAGGTTTCACCACAGAATGGGACTGTAAACCGGCGTTAGTGAAGCTCTGAAAGTGCAAAATGCCCCCTCTCCTCCGCGCCGAACTGCTCCTGCGCTGCCTTCCGCATAAGGCCTTTCTATCTGCTTCGCTTTCAGCCTCCAAGCAACGCACCGTTTCTGCCTATGCCTCAGCGAATGATGGTTGCTGTACCGCCCCCGTATAACAATAGCAATAATAACAATAATAATAACATCAATGGAGGTAAGATAAGTAATTTTTTGCTGATATCCCTCCTGTTGTTATTACGCTGTATTTTTTAGCTTACCAAAATGACTCCCCTTTAACGACAGTTCCACCGCTATCAGCCGCACCAACACATCCTACAATGGTGCCCATTCTTCCTGTTCCTGTTGTGATGCCCTCTCCAACCCATATGCCGCCACCTTCAACAGCACATGGCAGTCCACCTTTGGTAGTGGTGAGTAAATAGTTATCACTGTGAGATAGGCGACGTAGTCATATAAGTTGACAGTCGAAAAGAATCGGTGGACTGTTACTGACCAGGGAGCTCAACAACTACCATGGAACTTTGAGTGGAGGCCTGGGTAGATCGATAGAGTCTATAAGGTACAGATAGCAATACTACAACCTGCATTTCACAAGCAACTTATGAGCAGCTAATGGTGCAGTAGGGTGGAGGCTTGATGGTGAGCTGCGAAGCATAGGCGAGGAACATACGTCGAATCGAGTCTCGGTGGTTCATCTATAAGGTTCTACCTTCGACGACTCTATTCGACGTAACGGATTCCTCGCTTATGCTTCACAGCTCACCACCAAGTCTCCACCTTACTGCACCATTACAAACTTTACCTGCTCATAAGTTGCTTATGAAATGCAGGTTGCACTTTTGCTTGCTGTTTATATTTGTAAATAACCTTATAGACTCTATCGATACCCAGGTCCCCATTCACAGTTCCGTGGTAGTTGGCGGTCTTCTCTGGTGAGTAACATTTGTCCCGCAGGCTCATTGGTCCTGGTACTGGTTCTGGTTTTCTTTTGTTGAAAAAAAGAGAACCAAGAAATATCCCCACTTGTTTGCTATTTAATTTTGGCACTATCCAACTATTACTACCCCAGTTTTGCGAAAACAGGCCGGATCTTGATCGACTTTTTTCTGCGGGGTGGATTTGGCTGAAAGTTGTGTTCTAGGGGTACCTGGCGCCCGCGCCATAGGCGCCAGTGATTTGGGGCATTTTGGCGCCGGCGCCGTAGCGCGGACCCGGAGCGGTTTCAAGCCGAGGGAATGTGATATTCGTGATTAGGAGGTCAAACTACCCTAGGTACAAGTTTTCAGCGGATTTCGTGATCTAGGGTACTTCGGCGCAGGCGCCTTTGGCGCGGGCGCCAGGCGGTTTCGAGAGGAGTGGATGTGATATTCGTGTTCAGCAGGTCGAATTACCCCTAGAACCCAACTTTCAGCCAAATCCACCCCCGCAGAAAAAAGTCGATCGAAATCCGGCCCGTTTCCGGAAATCTGGGGCAGTAATAGTTGAATAGTGCCAATTATTTTTCATATTAAGCTTCCGGCTGGCATTCCTCAACGAGGAATGGTTTTGAGCAATACCACTTCGCACCCGCAGTCGCCTAATGGAATTCATTCGGCTCCACCTCATCACCATTCGCTTTGGAGTACGCATGCACCACCACCTGGAGCCATGTTTGTGCCTCATCTTAACAATTCGCGCAATCACTCCCATCCTCAGTTCTGGATGCACCCGTAAGTCCATTTATGTGGTATTCCGCATCGTGCTCGAGTGATGTCTGTCTCAGACCGCCTGCTGTGTATACATTCGATCCTCCATCTGAAAATGGTTTCATCTGGTCAAGCGCTCAGCGACCAGAGTTGTCAGTTCCTCCACCACCGCTACCATCATCCCGTGCGATGGAGCAGACAGTAGATACGGAGCAATTGATGATGAAACGAAATGAGATTATAAAGTAGTTTTTGCTGGTCTGTTCGATATCATCAGTTTATCGGATTACTTTGAGCGCTTTCAGTCGCCTTGCTCCACTCACACTGCTCGATGAAGATGACTTTGAAGATGGTGGTGTTGGACATGTTTCATACACAGTTGCCTCTTCAGTACTTGATGAGAGGTATGTTTGTACTATCGGACGAGCTTCGGATCAGTTTTTGTGACTATTGTATCCTCATAAGGCACTTCTCTCACCTTGAAAGTGAACTTCTTCCTCCTCCAAACCCAGCCCTAGCAGAGCACAACAACCAAGGGGCAGGGTCTTATAACGCTGCGTTTTTTCCGGCACCCAACTGCAGCAACCCCATTTTTACTAGTACAAATTGGCATCATCGGCTTTCCTCTCTTACAGCGGAATAGCAAACGGCGTCTACGCGGTTGTGCGATACATGCTGTGAGAACCCCTACTCTATGCCCACTCTGGTCGTTTGGCGTTCTCTAGTACAGTCTCATTAGGAGAAAGGTTCACTATCCGGGTCAGAGGGCTCAGACGAGCAGATTTAGTCGTATGCATTCCCCCAACTGTAGAAGCGCGCATGGTCTGGTGTTATAATCTCTCTAACAGTGTTCTCTTTCACATCATCCAAGCATCCCACACGGAGCACACTATTTGGTGGGGATTTCGGTCAAGTCCGCACGACCTCTCCCCACCCTAGCGGAAATTTCCCTACTCAATTTTGCTGTCGAGGTGGAGGTGGGAGAGGCACAACTAGGTAATATTACAGCCCTTCTCCCTTTATAGCGTCCGCTAAACAAGAAAAATCAACTATCAAAAAAAATTTCTCGAACAAGATACGGCTCTCCCTCCCCCCAACGACCAAATACGACCCCACCCCCTTTTGGAGAATCCCCAACGATGCCCTGATCTAACATTCCCATTCATATTTGCTTTGTTTGATCTTTATCTTCAGATCTGTCTTATCTAAAAATTGACGTTCGAGACTAATATAATTTCTTTGTAATTTCTAAATTTTCAGAGGAGAACTTCATCCAGTAACTTTGGTAATGGGTCCACCAGCACTAGAGCTTCCTCCAATTCCAGCGGGAAATCTATCTACGGTTCCTTTACCAGCGACTGCATCTGAAGGGACAATGTTAGTACTTAGTTTTTTTTTCAATTGTTTCTCTTCTATGCTTTTCCACTTATCGACGGCAGACATCGCACTGATGGGGCTTTATAACTAAAGAGATACAAGTTTTAAGCTGTTATTGTTTGATAACTGCTGTTTAACGCCGCAGTGCGCGACACGAAAATTATCACAAGAGTACTGAGTTGTAGGCAAAAGTCGGACCACGGACGGGATTCGACCCCGCATCTTCTGCTTACCGGGCAGTTGCCTTCCCTATTATTCCCGGTAGCGTAATAGGTCCGGCTCACCACGTTGAACGTGTGAGTGCTCGAAGGCAATGGCACAAATAGCCATCGAGCTGAGTGGTCAAAAGTGGGCCCCGGTAGCGCAATAGGGAACGCAACTGCCTGGTAAGAAGATGCGGGTTCGAATCTCGTCCGTGGTCCGACTTTTGCCCACAACTCAGCACTCTTGTGATAAAGAGATACATTTTCCCTTTGCTGAAAGGTGGTCATATGACGTGAGCTACTCTAGATGCCTCACGGGTGCTCTCAAAATGACACTTTTACAGAAGGTGCACGTTGACCACTGTTATTTTGAAAGGTTTGTCTGAATTGATGTGTTTCAGAGCAGTTCTCGGCGATATCGCTCTAGCAGCAGGATCACGATCACGTGCGCCAAGTATTCCATTGGTGCAATTCACTAACGTGGTTACTGCTTGTCCCACAACTCTTCTGTCGACTGAAGGCACTCCGTCAGCCACCGTACAGGCAGATTGCACAACAATGCATCTCAAAGATACGATTAGCCAACCACTTCCAACACCTGCTATTCAGAGAAGTCAAGGTTATTTAAAAAAAAACTTTGAATTTTGTTTATTTGCGTTATGCTGCTTTTTTTAGCAGTCGTTCTTGAACCACCCTTTTTTAGTCGTAGCACCAGTGCATATGTGTGCCGTACCGGTAACGTTTGATGCCGGAGTAGCGGGGGAACGTATAGGTACAGTTATTCGTCCTGTAGCACTTGCGCATCCACAGGACATGGTATCCAGTAGTCTGGATAAGATAGTAGATGTCAAAGAGAGGCTGAACGAGGCGGAAGGTCAGTGCTTCTCGAGTTTTTATTTCCAGTTGCTATTACTCAAAAATTATCCTACTATAAATAATCCGCTAAAGTTTGTCTGTTGGTTGTGTGCGGCGCCGTGTGTGTGTGTGTGTGTGAATGTATGTGTGTTTGAGCACGAATTGATAAGAGCTGATAAGATACTATAGCGGGTCTTAGAAAGCGAGGGTCGCTAACTCCATAACACGCGTCACAGCGACGCTAGGACTTTGGTTCCAAGAGGCACTATAGGGGACAGGATGAGAACATTAGCAGGAATTGATAACAGCCGATAAGATATCATAAGATATCACGACTGTCGAGGGAACTTGGAGCAAAGCCGTTGAGTCGATAATCCACGCCGCTCGCTCAGAACTCGGCACGACTAAGCCTGGGCGGCGTAGGATTGAGAAGCAGCTTTGGCTTTGGACGGATGACGTCCAGGCGAAGGTTCAAGCGGAAAAGAAACTTTATCACGTGTTTCTTAGGAACAAGAGGGCTGGCAACTGGCGGACGTACCAGGAAGCGAGGACTGCGGCAAAGAAGGCGGTCGCCGTAGTGAAGGCCGCTCATTTTGACGATGTCAGCAAGAAACTTGAGACTCGCGACAGTGAGCGGCACTTGTACCGCTTGCCAAGTCTCGTCACCGCCAAACCGAAGACATAGAAAAGTTTTTTGGCATCAGTGACGAGGATGGCCATCTTCTGATGAACCGAAAGAGGGTATTGCAGCGATGGCACGACTATTTCGAGAAGATCTCGACAAAGGAATTTACCCATCCGCTTATCCCCTCTGCGCGCCAATATACGGCCCCCTTCGGAAGATTTCAGTTGAGGAGACAGAAGCCGCTCTGGAGAAGATGAAGGCTGGTAAAGCTACAGGTCCCGACGACCTAGCAGCGGACCTATGATAGTCACAGCAGTGGTACTCCGCAGAATGGTTGACAAAGCTTTTCAACCAAATCACTGCAGAGAAGAAGGTACCCAAGGAGTGACAGTTCGCTTGCTCTCGCACACTATGAAAATCTTTGAGCGAATTGTTGATGGCCGTATTCGCGACATCGTCCAGCTCTCTTCCAACCAGTGTAGCTTCGTAACTGGCTGTAGCAATCGACGCCATTCACGCTGCTCGCCTTCTGCTTGATGAACATCGTGAGAAGCAGAAGCCTGTGCATGTAGCCTTCCTAGATCTACAAAAGGCATTTGATCGCGTCCCGCGAGACGTTATATGGTACGCCTTGCGACAATACGGTGTCCCTGAAGAGCTAATCGAATGGGTCCGCATCCTTTATTCAAAGCCAGAGAGCCAAGTGCGGACTCTTGCAGGCACCTCGATGGAATTTCCCATCACCGTTGGGGTACATCAAGGCTTCGCTCTCTCCACTACTTTTTGTTATCGTCATGGATGCCATCACACGAAACCTTCAGAAGGAAATTCCTTGGACGCTCCTTTACGCGGATGATGTGATGCTTGCATGTGAAGACAAAAGCACGTTGGAGCAGCAAGTTCAAGCTTGGGCTGATCGCCTGGCAAAGTTTGGGCTCAGGTCAAACGTAGACCGAGACCTTACAACCGACCCAGCCGAGACGGGCTCCATTAAAATCGATGTCACTGAGCTCACGCGCACAAAAACATTCAAACATTCAAGTATTTGGGATCAGCAATTACGTCCGATGGAGATCTCAAAACGGAGGTGAGCGCACGGGAGAGTGCAGCGTGGGCAAAATGGCGATGCATGTCGGTTATCCTCTGCGACGGAAGATGTCAGAACGGCTAAAGTCGAAGATCTAAAGTGTCGTTCGACCAGTCGCCCTATATGGCGCCGAGTGCTGGCCCGCTACCAAAGAAGTCGAAGCCCGTCTAAGAGTGATGGAGACGAGAATGTTGCGTTGGACTGCGGGTCACGCGTTTGGACCGCATTTGTAACGAAGTAATACGCAAGAAGTTCCGCATAGCTCCTATAGCTGACAAAATGCGAGAAACGCACCTTCGATGGTACCACGTACTTCGCGCAAAGGCTGACACCGTCTGTAAGACTGGTCTTCAGCTTGAGGTGTCCGGAAAGCGACCTAGGGGACGTCCCAGACAACGCTGGCTCGATACGTTGCATACAGACTTGAAAATAGCCGGAATTCGCCCCGATCAGGCAGTTGACCGGGAAAAGTGGCGTCGTCACATTAGAAGAGCGGACCCCGCCGCTGAGCGGGACAAACGCTGAAGAAGAAGAAGAAGAAGAAGAAGAACTAAAGAAGAAGATAAGAAAAGAATGGTGGGTAGCTTTGATATCCAGTGTAGTAAACTCATATAAGACGAGTACCTTTAGCGCACAGTAGCGCGCTGGCATACGTTGACGCAAAGTATGAACGCACCCTTATGGCATGTAGCCATTTTTGTTTTCGGAAGGGTACACAAGTGTTTTGTACTGAATCCCCAGCTGTTGGCTTTTATTTGCCTTCGCGAACATTGCTTGTATGGTGTTGTTCGTTGCGGACGGTTTTGCGTGTCAGGTGGGATGAGTTTGGGTGCCACACCCGTTCTCCAAAGTTTTTAAAGCGAGCAAGCGGGTAAGACTGTGTGTTCGTATTACTCGTTTTTTATCACTGCTTATCGCATGAGCGCCTCATCAAGGAGGCAGAGAACGGCTTTGACGGTGTGACACACTCACACTGCCTGACACGCCCAAGTGCGCCGTCCGCAGCGAACTGGAGTATAGCCGCTCCTGTTCCATTCTAAGCCTTTTCAAACTTTCCCACCAGTTCTGAGAAAAGTTGTTTGTTTTAGGAGCTTCTTCTACAGCTGTAAACCAGCAACTACTTGTAGAACTACGTATTGCCGAGCGTGAAATGGATCTTCTTGATCCTCGCACACAGGTGATTCTCAATCCGCTATTGAGTCTAGCAATTGTTTGTTTATTTAAGCAAGTTCCCTTATTCTTATGTTCATATTGATTTTTTGATTCTTTCTTCATATATAGATCGCGGCGTTATGAACTTGGAATTTAGGCTTCATGTTTGCTTCGAGAACTACGGCAAGTAGACAAGCAGATCGAGCAAATTGAAGCAGCAAGACCTGTCGAAAATTGTTAGCCGTTGGACAAGGAAGGCAGCAACATTCTCTTCAAAAACAAGCGATGTTGTTCAGATTTGCAATGAAATTGTATTATGTTATCATTATAAATATAACTCCACAGCCGACGTTTTCACGTAGAAACTAATTCCGGAACAGTTTAACTTAGAGCTCTTATTCAAACCTTGTACGAACTGAATCCTATAATGTAGTAGTGATGATTTAGCTGTGATTGTCCTATCTCTTTTGAGTAAATCTCCTCTCGTTCTTGGTGATGTGAAAAGTGAATTAGTTCTCGAAGAGCTTATCAGACTGCTTCCACATCGTTCTCGTCAGACTGCACTTGAATTGCACCAGGTAGCATTGCTTTACGTAGATGTGGTTCTGTTGTTATTGGACTCTATGTGCGAATTAATATATCATATAAGCATAAAGTGGTGATTTGGTGGAAGTGGACTATTTTTGTAAGACATTTGAATTTTGGTTGCAATTTAACCAAGTATTGCGACAATTACAGTGTATTCTGCAATTTTAATGTAAATGTCATTTTGCACTTCATTGATTTACAGATTTCTATCCATCGGTATAGGGAAGATTTTGCCGTTGGATAACCATGAACTGTATGCCAAGTGACTCGAACGGGGTTCATGCAGCGTCTGAAATGCAGTTGTGGGTGGTTTCTCCAGTTAGACTGCGTTCAGACTTCGCGATCGCGCGATTGGATCGCACGACCGAATGTGCGACCCCGACAGGGGCACTCCACCGCCAAACGGTGCACCGCCTGAACAGTACAATTCGAGTTGGCATTGTTTGAACGCGGCAGTCGTGCTGGATGGGGCGATCCAATCGAGCGATTGCGGAGTCTGAGCACGGTCTTAGAATTGAATAGAAGGCTGAAAATATGCCGTACTGTTATAATGATGTTTAAGGGCCCAATCTGAGCATGCCAGTTCTCACACAGCGTCGAAATTGCAGAGCTGCTCGTCGCAGGACAGAACGGCACAGGACAAACCTTCCTGTAAAGGTCTCTTCACAGCGCATTTGGTCCCATCCTTGCTATATAAAAGGGTTCTATAACGTCCCATTTTCCAGTCGCTCTTGATTCATCGAAAGAAAGCGCTGATACGTCATCTCGGTCAGAGTACTACCGCTTGATGTATGCTTGCTTACAGGTATTCTATGGCCGGCATTTATGGATTCGCTTTTGTTATTTTCCCTGCCTGCACGCTTTACTCATATTGCCTTCAGGTTATTATTACTTTTTCACTTCTTACTTTCAGGAGAAGTTTGATTATGTGCAAGCAAGTACTGATAGACTGCGTGATCGCCTGTATCATGTCAAGAAAGTGAGGATCACCAGAATATACATTCAATTTCCAAGCGAAAATACTGCAAATTCAGGAAGTCACCTATCTGAAGAGAATGAAGCGTGTTTTTGATTCGTCGGCTAGCACGTTATGGTGAATCGTACTCATATTGGCCGCCTGGAAATACCAGATAAATGTTGATAATCGAAGATCCTGTAGTGAAAAAGGCGGAAGGAGCGCCGAGAAAGGGAGCGTGAAAGAAAAGAAGCCATCAGGGCTGCCAAGGTGAGTATTGTGTTGAGAAGGGTGTTGTGTAATATCGGAGTTGCTGGATGAAGTTTGATGTTGCGGAGCGCAAACGCTGTCTCTTTTCTGTCACTGGCAATACGGTAAGTGGCAGGAGCCCACCGTACAAAGCCACGTAATCAATTGAGCGTGCCCCAATTGGTCGAGCATTCCGTTTCTCCTTCTAGGTTCGTATCCTGCAGCGAGCCACCCGCAGTTTGCCCTTCTCCCGCCAGCCTCGCCACTTAAGCGCGGGCGGCTGAGCTCAGGATATCTGAGACGTGGCATCGTGTGGCAGGTCAGTGGGATCGCTAGCTTCCCTAAAATCCGGTAAGCTAAGTCCGCCATAAGACAATCCGGGCGATGGCGCGGTCGCCGAGTACGCTAACAGAGTGGGGCGCTGTGTGTTGGAATCAAATATTATGTTTTTTTTTTGAAAATCAGACTCTCAGAAACTTTCTCAGTTTTCTCAGATTTGATCGCAAAACGAACGTAATTGCTATGAAAACTGAAATACTGATGAAGGTTGGGGAGCAGAAATTTGAAAGAAAGCAAAAAGAGACGGCTATTCATGACAAGTTTAACGAATAGCTACAAAGATTCTTTTAGTTTTGTTGAATATCAAGGAAGTGATGACAAGGAAACTGGTTTGAATCGATTCCAGTGCAAGCTACTAATCGCTAGCCGTAATAGCCAAACGGAAAGAGAGACAAAATAGTCAAATAAAAAGTGGGGGACGCTGTGGAACCAGCGTTCATACTTTGCGACACTCTAAGCTAGAGGAATCGCAAAACGAAGCCTTCTATCGAACTATAAATCCTCCTTGAAAATGGTCATGCATTTTCTTTGTTGATATATTTAACTTCGAGGCCCTACAATATTTTCACAATGAAGCCACCTACTCTCGTTCTTTGCTCTAAACTTCTTTTATCAATTTTCTAACCATTTTCTCGATCACTAACCCTTTACTGCTCGTTGATGATCACATCACTGGATGATGTTCCCTTCAGAAACAACTATTTTGGTAATAAAGTTGGTTTCAATCCACCTTGTCATATGGTGTTGGCGCGGCGCGGCGACCCGCGACATCACACGGACTTATCTATCGGACCTGGTGTAATTTTACTCGATGCGCACTTTAGCTCCAAGCACTATAATGACAGCTGTTTGCCATGTCAGAAAATTTCGACGATCAGTGATTGCTTCCTCCTAGTTAAATTTTGAAGGGCACCACGAGTGGAGGGCATTATGTACTGAAAACCGTAGGTTGAGGTGATCTGGCAGTAACCTTCAAAACTTGCGATGGAAAAAAACAGTTTGAGGTCTTCAATGTTTTGAGTTGAATTGAGCTTGAACGATGTAGACTCGCACAACACCCATGTTCTGACCGCGAAACGCTATGTCGGGTCAACTAGTAAGGAAAACTGGCTGGCGCGCATTGTCTCGCTTCGACTGCAGGGCACATCGTGGTTGGGGAGTTCCCAACAGGGGGGGGGGTTATTTGGTCGCCGGCAGATGGGGTCGTATTGGGGTTGAGAGTTTTACCCCTGTTTAGTAGTTGATCTTTCTCGGTTCACGGACGTTGTGAAGGGGGGAGGGGTCGAACTTGCTCGTTGTCGAGAGGGGGAGGTCGTATTCACTTTGTGTTTACTTTCTGGCGTTCTGGGAGAGGTGGCTGACTTTACATGATTTTCCTGTTTCATGGGTATAATTTGCCCCTTCCCCCTCCGCTGGACAGCTCGATGGGGGTGGGGTCGTACGGACCCGACCAAAATCCCCAACCAGTGATGTGCCCTGTTCGACTGCTTCATTCATCACCGTTAAAACATCGGTGACGTCGCATGGTGATCTCCTACTCTTTCGAGTAGCACGACCTCTGCACTTTGGTATGGCCTTGTCTTACCGTGGCTGCACTATCAAAGAGCAAATGGTGAAGTTTGTGGTTGGCTGCTTGCATACAGGTGGATCAATGATGAATTCTTGTTCTCCTTTTTTCAGAGAGCTCAAGCTGGCCTCAGGGAAGAGAGCAGTACATCTAGTCATGCATTTCTACACTCCTCAGGCATAGTCGGTAAGTGATATTACGTGCTTCGTGTGGGGGATTTACAGTTTCTGTCGAGAATCCGTTGTTTTCCAGGCACAGAACAAAGTTCTTCTCAAGTATGTTGACTTCACTCTTAGCTCACCGCAAACAGAGGGATTGTTTTGATCTACACATCTCGGCTTTACATCGACTTCTGGTGATGTTCCAGGAGCCTTCAATCCTCGTGGATTTGTACATTTCTTTTTGTTACGTGTTTTTTGAGTTGTCGAAAGAAACAGCTCAACAGGTTCATAGGAATGGATAGATTTTCGCCTTAAAATTCTCAGTTAAGGAGCGGCCTTACTGTTTAATTGTTGCCTCTTTGTTAATAAATCTACATTGCCGTCATCGCGAATTCCTGTTGTAGCGTGGTTTTTCACCTGGGTATTTTGATACGAGTTCACGTTGGAAAACACTACCTATTGAAAATTCTTAGCTTTAAGAATGCAACGAAAATGACTTCTAGTGCGACGTGTAATCTTTCATCTCATGGATACATCGTCCAGCAGTGGATTGGTAAATTCTGTTTTCCTTAGTATTTTACTAAGTTAGTTTAGTTTTAGTTACTGCATACCATTGTGAGATGCATTTTCTTCGCATTATAAGACTCCGATTCGCGGTTTGCGTAATGCGCGTAGTAGCGCCTTCATGAAGCTGGCAAAAAAAGACGTTCTTCCACATTCGAAGACAATTGGTACCAACCCCCGGACTCTTCAGGACCAGTCCGTGCCAGTTTAAGGGACAAAAGTGGGGGTGTAACCGTTTGGGCACTTTAGAGGGCGCGAAATGGGGCTGAGATAAAGATACCCGGACCGTGGACCCCGCTGCACATCCCTCAAGGTCCAGCATTTGCATCCGAAATCTTACAGCGAGACATGCACGTAACAGAAGAGAACGATCAGAAGTGAGAGAATGCAAAGAAATAGCGCTCTCTCAGCGCTTGACTATGGTTGAGCGGTGGCTGGCAGTACGACAGCGCGGACGGATCCCCGAGCGACAGCAGGGTATACTAACGTGCAGCCCCGTTTCCGTCCACATTTGAGCGGAGAAAGTGGCACGCTGCTCTAGCTGTAGATCCATTCATCTGACATGGCAAAGATCGGGATGCACGGAAGTAGGTGTACAGTTCGTCGTTGAGCCTGCGCGACCCCGCTGCATGCTCTTGATGATGGAGGCTATGCGAGAAATCAGAGCATCTTCCTCTGGTGTGTTCCGGATATTTTGATAGGTATCCCCTTACATGCAGTTTTCACGATAAATCCCTAAGGACGAGTAGGATTAATACGCCTGCTAGGACGCCCTGAGTCAGGCTCTGTGTAGCGCCTTTTTCAAAAAAGGTCCCTCATAAGGCCTATGAAGCTGCAACATACCGACCTGGAGCCCGCCGTGTCCGCCCACTCACAAATGGACGACACACCTGATGCTCGTATTGCTTCATTTACGAAGTAAAACATGAAGCGAAGGGATTGACATGAAGCGGCCGCGGTCTACATGGATATATGAGTACATACGTGCAGCCGTATCTACCGTAGCGGCCATCGGTAAGATGCCAACGGGAAACTCGTGCATTACTATCTGAGTCCTGAAGAACGAAGGCTTTTGTTTGCAATTTTCTGACAGTTCCACTTCGTTTTGTCGCCATTTCTCACTGTATAGCACCCTGATAGCATTCTATATCGAGTAGCAGAATACCGTGCCATATGCTTTTAGGGTCAGCGGCTTCGAAAAGATCGCGTGATTAGGCCTGGTCCATGGAGTGGGGATCACATCTCAGAGTCCTCCTCCCCCGCTTGCTCAATTAAGCTTTCTGTTCTCGGGTAAATTGATACCGGATGCGTCTGGTGAAGTAAAAGTAGTGACTTGAAAATCGATTGTCCCTGTACAATAAACAAGCCAATTCGATCCCGATTGGACTGGCGGCTTCAACGAAATGGATTGGAGGTTTATTGGATTTTCTTTCAGGACACTGTTTTGATGGAGCAGGTGATGTATTCTCTGGAAAGTGTAATGATTCAGCGCGGGTTATCATAAAACAAATTCCACTCGATGCGCTTGACATCACTTACGACCCGTCGAGAGCAGAGAATTCAGAGGAATTCACTCGCACACTCGTGCATGCGAAATCACCAGACAAGGGCCAACTTCTTCGGGTACGCTCTTATCAAACTCCATTGTCGGTTTAATTTTCTCAAACACTCAGAACTCAGCTGCTCCAATCTTTCCTCAAATATTGCCGTTTTTGTTTAATAATCGATTTTTTTTTTTCAGGAAGATATACGTTTGATGCGATTGTTACGCCACCCACATATTGTTGATTTTCACGCTTGTTTCGTGGATGGACCGTCTATATACTTGGTGCTCGGTGGCTGTAACTACGGTTTGTATCTTTGTCTTGTTTTTGGGCTTACGGCTGCAAGTGGAGAGGGAGGTGTTTTATCGGTCTTAATCATTTTCAATGTTCATTTTTGCTTAGATATGTAGGGTACTTAATAAGATTACTGGTTATTTTGATTGATAGAAATTGCTAATCACTCCTGCGCAATGTCACGGTCCAACATCCGTGGGATTGTTGAGCTTTGAATGACGATGCATAACCGTGATCCAAACGATGCGGCGCATGTCGGCAGAGTACGGCGGGAGGGGAGGGGTAGATTGAAGAGGCGCCAAGGAGTCAATGATACAGTCGTCATCCGGTGACATGATTTGGGCGGCAAGGGACGCTACGAGGCTGCGGTGTGTTGCGAGCGCGCCGATCACTGTTTCCAGCCTATTTTAGCCATTTCTCCCTAGTTTAAGCTTTTTGCTGCTTTTCTCACGATTATTTTCCATTTTTGATGGTTCAGTTGTTTATCGTTTTTGATGAAGTACAATTAGAACGGTTGTTTTTTTCTGTTCTTGTAATAGTTGGGGTTTTTTGCGATTTTTTCAGGTATTTGTTCACTTGTCTGCCTTTAATTGTTTGTGCGCAAAACCAGAAGGAATTTCCTCAATTATAACTACCTTGTGAAGACAGAAACAACTATAACGTCGAGAAAAGCAACCAAAAACAGCCGTAAAATAGGCAGATAAATGGCTAATGTGGTCGAAACAGCTGACCCCCGTGCTCGCAGGCACACCCGCAGCCGCATCGCACTCCCTGCCGCCCTAATCGACTCACCGGATGCACGACTGTACCATCCTGCTTTCACAACGAATTGGCGGAAGAACTGCTTATAGCTATGACACCAACAGAACTTGTGCAGGAGCTCAGAAATCGCTTATGACGCCTTTGAAAAGGCAACATTCTACAATCTATGCAGCAGATTAGAATATCCTTTTTATCGCGAAAATAGTTCAAGCTTCAATCTGCAGAGGTTGTCCCCGTCTTCGCGCTCAATCGCTGAACTTGCGTTTCATACTTTGGCGGGCAGCGTACGCTAGCGTTTCCAGCGTTCAGACAATCACAAGAAAACGAATAGATATCGATGCTAACGTTTCTAGCGTTTCCCCAGCGTATTCACCAGCGTTGCCAGCGTTTCACTAGCATTTGGCGGCCACAGACCAGAGAGAACGGGAGAAGTAGGAAATAGTGAACTTTCTCGATCAGCCTCACTGAATGTCGCGTGTGAAACCACACCCACTGCTAATTGCATTGAATTGCATAATTCTGTGGTTTGGTGTTGGAAACAGAAGGTATTAGGTTGTCCGGAACATCTCAGCTTGCTGCCACCTATTTTTTGTACAGTCCACTGCCTGATTAAAAACTCATTCGCCCTTGCGTCTCTGCTAGTACAGCCGTAGAGAATTTCTTGTGCTATCTGATTCGTATAATTGCGTTTCAACCTCGCTTGACTTAACCCCCTTTTTCAGAGTTTTCTCAAGCATGCATGAAAAAGAGCACTTCGGACGATTATTTTTTCTTCGACTACAAAGTGGCCGGCAATCCGCCAATTGAGAAACAGCCTCAACAAAATTAGGCCAGGTGGGGCCAATACTGCTAGTAAAAGAACTGTGCGGCAATGCTCAAACAAATTTCGTTCTGGCAATTTCAGCCTTGAAGAGACACCTTCAAGCGGTCGACCTAAAGCAATATCTGACGTACGAATGGCGGCATTTGGAGGCCTACCCATCCAAACATTCGAGCACGATATCAGAAAGAGCTAGCCTTGGGTGAATCCACTGTTCCCAGATGGTCTGGAACGCATTGCGCGAAGGTGAAAAAACTCAACAACTGGCGTGTCCCACAATCGCGACGTGACCGCTCCAGAATCGCGACGTCTCGAGGTTCCTTTCTGCATTTGCTTTCCGCCAGCAAAATGACCTGTTTTGGGCCAATGTCACTGTGCATGAAAATGGGTCATGTATGATAACGAGACGCTTTCCGGACAGTGGTTGGATTTCGTCGAAACCACCACGGTAATTTTCAAAGCTGAACCCTCACGAAAAAAATGATGCTGCGTCACGGACTTAGTGTCATACGGCTGGTGTATCTACTATAACTTTTATCACCAGGCCAAACATCGCAGAGAAACCCATACTGTGAAGAAATCGACAATTGTACCGAAAATATTTGTCAGCTGCAGCCAGCACTTATCAAAGCGAAAGCGCCGATTCCTTCGCATGGACAACGCCCGCCTCACATGTTTCCAAAATCACTATTACATTTAAATTGAACGAAACTGAAGTTGAAGTTCTAACCTCAACCCCATATTCTCAGACCTTTTCCGCCAACCGACTATCACCTTTCTAACATTTCAGAACTCCCTTGCTGGAAAAATCCTTCATCAATCAGACCAGCAAAAAAGCCTTAGTGGATTCCCGGAATTTTCGACCACCAGTTTTTTATTTTGATGGCGATTTCTCGACTGCTGTCACATGCAAAAGTGTGTCATTCGAATGGTGCCTATTTCGAATTAAATCCATGAGTATTAAAAAATACATCGTTTAAATTGAAACACCCAAACGCCATGAAACTTTCCGGAAACCTAATATATTACATTGTCGCACCGGAATTAACGAACATGCTGAAAACACCTCCTCTTTTGCGAGTACCATACCTTTTTTTAGAGTTGCTGTTGGAAATTGTTCCGTTGGGAATTTTTTAGTAATCTTGATGACGCTCTCTGGACGATATTACGCCGACAATACATGCTCATCCTTATGAAAGATCCTCAATTAATCCACGCTTTTTTTACAATATTATATATTATGCATTCAACCATTGCATTATGCCATTTCAACCATTTAGTGTACTGTGTTCGTTAGTGGTGCGGTGCGGTTGTACACGCCACAATTCCACGACGCGTAATCGAGCCGTTGGGTCCACTCTTCCTTAACACTCTAGATCCCCCGCCGCTGGCAAACGCTAGTGAAACGCTGGCAAGCGCTGGTGAAACGCTAGCAACGCTGATATTGATAATCTATCCTTTCCCTCGTCACTGCCGCTGCCAAACGCTGGAAACGCCAGCGTACGCGTGCCACAAAGTATGAACACAGCCTTAGTGACGGAGCTACGGTTGTTTACAGCCAGCCGTAGAGGGTTGCCTCACACATCCAGGGACGAGTTATGCCAGCAGTCTTGTTATCTATATAACCACGGACGTCATTTTATGTTGGACAGACCTTGCAGGCTCGCTCCGTCTTCATGTCTTCTCTTCCTTTTGTCTCTGATCTCTCGTCCGCCCAGCAGTATATCGCTTCCTCGGATGCTCGTCTGGGCCTTATCTAGGGCCGGCGTTTGAGTTTTGTGCACTACTTCCTTCAGCGGTGACTCTTACCTCCTAGGGTCCATATTCGGATGCGAAAGCTTCACAAAATGCAATCGCAAAGTGGTCTTTGTTGTATGAAGAATATAATTTTGACACCTTCTCCCTTTCTGGTTGCCAGGATGCGGTAGTAGGTATCAAGTCTGTTTGGCCAGGGTTAAAATGCTGATCAGTGGGCTTGTTCTCAGAGGTTCATTCTGTTGAAAGGACCAAAAGTTTAAGGTTCTGCAGCCGATGTAATACTATCTTTCATATCATGTTGCGTTATTCCTGAAAAGGCAATAGCATTGATTCTTCGCCAAATCTTCTGCGTTCTTGCAATTGTCTTACTCTGCATGGCCACAACAAATCATTCCAGCAGGGTGAAGCAACTGTGGGCTTTGGGATTCTGCTACTGACAGTGTGTGAATACGTTGTACAGGTCGATTCGGGCTAGCCATATACTACTTGATTCTGCCAATGGTGTTCGTCTGACGGGATTCCGTCTTGCTCGAAAGCTGCAATCTGGTGAAACATCTACCACCGACTTCGACAACCATGTCGAGGCATCTCTCCTTTGGCTGGCACCAGAAGTTCTCGGTCAAGTGAGCTTTTAGTCTTTTGCATAACATATGACTTTTTATATTCAACTCCCACTGATATTTATATCATATTGCTGTTTAAATTGCATATTTCCATTTTATAGCTCTTCTGTACATTACAATTTTTCTTCTGAAAAATCTCTATTTTATTGTATTCAAATGTCAGGATCTCAGCGGATATTCTACAAGCGCTGATATCTACAGTGTGGGTGCCACGCTGTGCGAAATGGCGAATGGTTTCCCTCCATTTGGTGATATGAATCGACTGGAGATGCTGTACGAGAAGTCTCGAGGCACTACGCCACGGCTTCTGGATTCCAATACGTTACCTGCTGACGAAGGTAGGTGCTCTACTATGTATGTGTAGGCATGAGTTTTAACGTGCTATTTCAGAACCTTCTGAGCACAGTAAACGCACATTAACGGAAGCATTTCATAATATTACTGGACTATGTCTGAAAGTCAATCCTGCCAACAGGTGTGCCTACAGTTGGATTTGTTTAATAACTCGGAACAACAGCTTTGATAGCACTATCGATAGCTGAGCAAATGCATCTACTCATCAGTGCTTTCTTTACCTTGAAGGCAGTGTCCGCTATCAACCAAGATGAAGAAACCCTGTACTGCACAAGATCGCGGAGTCCGGAACACAGAGGATATCCCACTCCTGGGACTCGAAATCGATTGATAGACGAGGGCGGAGTTAACGATGATAAGCTGACTCTGCCTGTCGTGTTAATCCCGCCTCGATTGGTTTTCAATTATCAATCCTCGCTGGCAGATAATTGCTTAACTTCTAGCGTTCGTTTCGTACACTGAGAGAGATTATTTCATAGATAGATTACATCAATTAGATTAGATAGATCAAACACAACAAAGCAACTTCGGTAGTGGCCTCATGAGAATTAGCTGCAACGAAGCGGCGACGGGTTTTGAGAACTCACCAAAATCTGCGAAACTCGTCCAGATGTGTCCGATCGAACAGACTCTTATTCTGTGTTCCTGCGGCGCTTTTTGTTTACTTTTTTCTGATTAATGCTTTACTTGCCACATGCTCTAACAATTCTCAGCCTTACAACCTGCTAAGTCTCAGGCGCTGTCTTTAAGGCTAGATGTCGCGCTGACCTTAAGGGGTAGCCAATCTTTACCTAGGTAGAAGAGCAGAGATGCTGTTCTTGGTAGTATCAGGGCAGAGGCTGCAGCATATCGGATTTGGTGAGCATAGTAATTCTTCCTATTGGAATATTTGCGGCCGATCCTCTTTCAGTTTATTTACTTTCACTGAGGGTATACGAACGTTTTCGCTGCAGAAGCAGAGCTGTCAGGGGAGGGCGAGGTTGGGTTCAGCGCGGCGCCTGCCCGCTCATCACCGACTGTTGAAGCGCGCAAGCGACACCATTTGTTGGAAAAGGGGCTGGCGTCATGCCAAACCCAGCTCTCCTGACACGCTCCAGCGTCTGCAACGAAAACGACTAGGTGAGCCAGCCGGCTAGTTCTTTCACAGTTTGGATTTCAATAAGACATTCCGCGATCTCCTTATGGGTGAAATAACTCCTTTGTACAGACACATCTAAACGACAGAGGTTTCTCCACCACTCGTAGTTGAAAGAGAGTTACAGAAAGTTCGCTGCTTGTCGTGGCAACTTTATCCAGCTCCATCCAGAGGTGACCGTGCTTTCAGATCTGAGTGAGGCCACCAGCTCTAGTCACTAATGTTTCTGTTCTCCCATTCCTTGTCCCTAATATCTCGTTCGCGTCCCTTACGGCTTTTTCGCCATTTCTCCACCTACTCATAAGGTGCCAGAATCGACCGCAAAACAGCAGGGCCTTATTTAGGTTCCTTCAGCAGATTGCCTGCTCGGTGTT